CCCTTCAGCTTTTTGTCTGATTTATTCTGGAAGCATCAGTTGTGCCCACCAGTATCAGGAAAATAGAAAAATTAGAAAGCAGTCAGCAAGTCTGATGGTCCTTGGTACCCTCCACTGTCCACCTCTTCATCCAGAAACCAAGCCCAGGTCTCAGTGGTCACACCAGGTCTTCATAGCCCTCGATCCACAGCCCTGGGAGAAATCACCTGCTGTCCTAAGTATTTCTTTCCACTGGTTCAACAATAGACTCTGTCCTGGGTATTTCTTTCCACTGGTTCAATAATAGACTCTGATACATTATTTAGTTTTTTTTGTTTGTTTGTTTGTTTTTTTGAGATGGAGTCTCGCTCTGCCGCCCAGGCTGGAGTGTAGTGGCGCGATCTCGGCTCACTGCAAGCTCCGCCTCCTGGGTTCCCGCCATTCTCCTGCCTCAGCCTCCCGAGTCGCTGGGACCACAGGCGCCGCCACCACGCCCGGCTAATTTTTTTGTATTTTTAGTAGAGACCGGGTTTCACAGTGTTAGCCAGGATGGTCTCGATCTCCTGACCTTGTGATCCACCCGCCTCAGCCTCCCAAAATGTACATTATCTAGTTCTTATGTTCCTGTTTATCATCTATGAAATAGAGGATGTTTACCTTCCTCTGGAAGCTCCTGATTAACCAACACTAAGAACAGCATAGTTGAAGGAAACTTTCTTACCTCCTAATAGGTATCTTCTTATGCCTGGCAGATTTTTTTATTCCAGTATTAATGTCCTATCCATATCCTCAAATGGATATTTTGTTGCTGGTTCTTTCTGTTTCTAGCTCTTATTCTGTTTATAAAAACTGGAATATAAAATCCTCCAGTGCTTTCTTGGTCTACTTTTCTGTTTTAGAAATTTAAATTTCTAAACAAATGCCAATTTAGCCACATCTTGTAATGTTTAATGTGCACAGCTTTTATCATCATTAGGCTACAGGTATTTTCTAATTACATATAGGACATTTTTTTCTTTACCATAAATGAATGAGAAGTGTGGTAGTTTCGTTTGTGTGTGTCTCGCAAACTATGAGAGCCTTTGAATTTGTTTGTAACTTGTTTCTCTAATCCATTTTGGTTCCAGAACATGTTCTTTTAGTATTGATTCTTGGAGTTTATTGGGTCTTCATTTCAACTTAGTAGATAATCAATCTTTGTAAATGTCCCTTGTGTTGTGAAACTGTACAGTAATCGTTTGTGCAAGGATTGTGGTTTCTGAGAAGCAATACAGGAAAATGATTAAGACACAGACTCTAAATCATAACTCCCACATTTACCAGCTCTGTGATTTTGGACAAATTACTTTAACCTCTCTGAGCTTCCGTTAGCATATCTGTTAAATGCCTAGTGAATATTAGATGTTATATAAGTATTAGCTATTATAATACAAATCCATCGAATCTAGCTAATTGAATCATTCAAATATTGTTTAATCTTATTAAGATTTTTTGTTTTACTCACCAATTACTGAGAAAGGAGATTTGAAATCACTCTTTATGATATTACATTGGTCTTGCTTCTCCTAAAAGCGAACTCCAAGACAAAGATTTAGGTAGGAGTGGCTTCTTTGGGAGATGATCCCAGGAAACATTATGAGGAAATAAATAAGTGGGCTAGATGAGGGAGGACAACCCACTAATCTGCATTAACTAATAAATCTACATTAATTAATGTTGTCATGTGGCTTAATTCCACTGAGAACTGAATGATGACTCCTGAGATATTAATTCCCTGGTTTTTGAAACTGGTGAATGTTACCTTAGATAGCAAAAAACAAAACAAGAGAAGATTTTGCAGATGTGAAATTAAGGATTTTGAAAGGATGCTATCCTGCATTATTCAGGTGGAACCAATGTATTCTTCACAGGAGAAAAGCAAAGGATGGTTTGATACAGACAGAAGGGGAGAGACAGAGTCACAGTGAAGGCAGTGAGCCTCGATCGTGCCACTGCACTCCAGCCTGGGTGACAGAGAGAGACCCTACGTCAAAGAAAAAAAGGGACTTAAACATTTTTGAAGCAAAAAAAAAAGGACTTAAACATTTTTGAAGCAAAAATCCCCCATCAGAGAAGTCAACTATTTCTTTGTGAGGCCTCTATTCCCAGGAAATCAAGGGGAAAAAAATCACAAACATGACTGAGAAAATTATAGCAAAGAAAGATCCTTAAGTTTATACACAAAGTCAAATCCACTGTGACTGGAATAAGTCAAACATCAGTTGGTAGAGGGAACAATTCAAAACCAGAAAATAAAGTATAATTCTGTACTTTAAGAATAGTTTAACAAAACAATTTAAGATAGTTGAAAGCACATAGTAAAGCTGTTTTAGTTGATCTACTCTCAAGGTATAAAATGCTATTTTATAAATAGCTAAAATTCAATATTTTGCCTTTTTTAAACTTTACCTAACTTTTCTTAAGGACAAATCTTTTATTAAATTATTATTTACAGCCAAGCGTAGTGGCTCACACCTGTAATTCCAGCACTTTGGAAGGCCAAAGTGGGTGAAACACCTGAGGTCAGGAGTTTGAGACCAGCCTGGCTAACATGGTGAAACCCCATCTCTATTAGAAATACAAAAATTTGCCGGTTGTGGTGGTGTGTGCCTGTAGTCCCAGCTACTAAGGAGGCTGAGGCATGAGAATTGCTTGAACCCAGGGGGAGGAGGCTGCAGTGGGCCGAGATCATGCCACTACACTCCAGCCTGAGTGACAGAGCAAGACTTCATCTCAAAACAAAACAGAAACAGAAACAAACAAAAAAACCTTATTTTCATTAGAGACTACTCTACTCAACAATAGCTGTGTTCTTTCATAAGATAAAATAATTACCAGCTGAGGACATTATGTATGTGAAAACTGGGGGGTATTTATGTTCCCTCAGAATTCATGTGTTGCCACCATATCCCCAATGTGAGGGTATTTGGCAGTGGGCCCTTTGGGACGTGATTAGGTCATAATGGTGCAGCCCTCCCAAATAGCATTAGTGCTCTTATAAAAAAAACACCCCAGAGAGCCCCCTCACCCCTTCTGCCATGTAAGGACACAGAGAAAAGATGACCAACTATGAACCAGAGAGTAGGTCCTCACCAGACACAAAATCTGTTAGCACCTCGAACTTGGACTTCCAGCCTCTAGAACTGTGAGAAGTAGATTTCATTTGTTTATAAGCCACCACCAAGCTCTGTTATTAAAGCCCAAACTGATTAAGACAGACTGTGAAGACAGACTGCCTGGGTTTGAATTTACCACTTAACCATTTTGTGACATTGAACCAATGATTTAAATTCAATCACCGTCAGTTTCTTCATTTATACAATACAGATAATAATAGGACCGCATGCATAGGATTATTGTGAGGATTCAACAAGGTAATTAGTGTATGAAGTTTAACACAGCTCCTGGCACAGACTTAACTCTAGCAAGTGCATTCTATTTTTGTTCAGTTTATTTATTTTACACATTTAAGAAGCCAAAGGTCTAACAGCAAAGCAAGAGTTTAAATAATTCATATAAAGCAGGAAGTGGTAAGAGCTGTAAAGGTAATATAGACAATTTGCAACGGGAGTTTGATGGACAAAGAAATGTTCTCCTCTGAGTGAGAAAAGAAGAAAACCTAGGAAGATGAATGAAGAAGTGGCATTTAAGATGGACTTTGAAGGATTGGAAGTGCCAGGTCGGATTGGAAGTGCCAGGAAAATCACCAGCAAGGGTCTGGGAACCTGTGTCATCCATGGCTTGGTGGGAAGATAGAACTGACTTGTACATGATACAGAAGGAGTTGGAAAGGCCCATCATAGAGACAATGTGAAGCCCAAGCCATATAGATGGTGCTATGTACATTGATATTACTAACACTACACATTTGCATAAACCTGAATACTTTCCATTTCCTTCTCACCATGGATAAATTACCCACCTATTATTAACTGGAATTATAATAATAACTTATCCTTAGCATATTCACATATTCAAGCCATCTCAGTTTACTTTATTAACGTCCATAATACCCTTATCAGGCAGACTGGACAAGGTGGACAAGCACCATCCCCCTCTAAGACAAGGTCAACTGAGGCCCAAGATGGATGCCCAAGGTCAGCTCCCTAGAGGACCACAAGTCGACTACTTCTGACACCTTGTCAACTGTGCCAAGCAATGCCACAGTCCTGTTTCTAGGAGCTGAACCTCAGTCTCCCCAACAGAGTTACTATGAACTCAAGCCAAAATTCCCCCAAAGAGTCAAATGAGTGGCTTGCACTCTGAGAAAAGTAATACAAATGTGACAGAATTCACTCCAATGTGCTGGGAAATGTTACATCTTAAACCATGGGTTCGCCCAAGGTCTTTGTTGGAAATAACGAGACTTGGAAATAAGAAGCAGCTGTTTAGCAGGTTTTGTGTGGAGACAACATGAGCCAAGCAAAAATTAAAAATTAAGTAAAGGTTCCATTTTTCCTTCCTGGACAGAACCTTGGAACTAGTCTGCACTTACTTTGTTCTAATAATACAAAATCTTGTTTGTTCTAATACAGATACACAGAAAGTTAAATGAAAAATTATAAATAAACTTTCAAGTTGTTCCTCTAAGTTATGAGATAAAAGAATGTGGCTACATTCAGTGTCTTCAAGCTAAAAAGGATGTGCAAATTACAGTATTTGGTGGAGCACTAAACCCAAAGCAGTTATAAAGATAAACAGTATAGAAGTTAAAGTCCATACTGCAGGCAAACTCAAAAGATCATCTCAAAGCCAGAGCATGTAAACCCTGTACCTCAACCAGCTTTAGCCCCTTACCCCGGGCAAAACCAAACCCCAAGAAGGTTGAAAAATATATACAAGTAAAAATGTGTGAGGCTATAGGTACTGCTATGGTTCATATTGTTTGGGGAGTAAATAGTCCTCGCAGATATTAATGAAGGAGTACTCAGTGACCTATCTGAGAAGGTACTATCACTCACCTTCATTAAGCCACAGATTTGTCCTTCATTCCTGGTGTTGACATCAGTTTTGTCTTAGCTGAGCACAACCCCGAGCCACGTTGCCCAGGAGGTGGAAGTCAGCTTTTCAACTTAAGGTACATCGTCTGTTAAAGAAAAACATAGGGTTTTTTGTTGTTGTTGTTTTTGTTTTTTGTTTTTTCCCCCAGCTAGAAGCTAAATAATTCATTCAGGGATCTCTGCTTCGTTAGCACCGTGATTTAGCCAAGGGAGCAGAACATCTCTGACCATATGTTCACAGGCTGCAAACAAAAAGCAGAGAAATTTCTGGAACTCCTCTGCTCTCATTTATTGCTTTCAGCTTGGGCTTTAAACCACTCAAGAGTTGGGTTCCTGTCAATATTTTAATTACTCAGGCAAAGGCATCGGCCCAATCTCTCTCTTTGACAAGTTAGTGAAGTGCTGTCTGTGTTGCCCATGTCCTCCTCTCCTCCCGTTTTAGCTTAAGTCTGGGAGAGATATCAAGGGCTGCCTTACATATGGAGAGTTTGTAATGGACCAAACTGGCAGGCGCCCTTACAGTATGTCTATCGTTCATGCATCTTCTCTTCTCTCCTCGCTTTTGTCCATATGGGACAGGAACTGTGGAATTATGAGCATTTATTGAGTGCTGACTGTATTCCTGGCCCTGTGCTGGGGGTTAAATTATTGTGTTTCATCTTCAGTTAATGATCTGTACATTATTTCTACTTTCCCAATAAGAAAGCAGTCTCAGAGTATTGCCAAAAGTCACAGTAGGTTTCAAGGGTGTCATTTGAAAGTAGTTATTTCTAACTCCATGAATGATGGAAGTGAAAGACAAAAAATTAGAAGAGAGACTTTTAGGGTCTTCTTAGGGAGGCATATTGGCTGCAACCACTGAGTTACATCTCACTGGAGCCCTGGGAAGCTAAAAGAGCCAGGGTGGGTCCAAGAGGAAGCTTGAAGCTAGAAATTCTATCTGGCCCTAAACTCTAAAATCTAGAAGTGTGAACTAAAGTCCTTTAGCATTCTACCCAGATTCTTCCATTTAGTTTATCAGATCATAACATTAGACAAGATTATTAAAGATGGTATGTCACAGGACAATAGGCATGTGTTTGGTGGGAGGGTCCCTATAGAGCATCTTTCGGAAAATTGGACATATCTTAGAGAGGCAGATGATATTTGAGAGACAGAAACAAAATGTAAACATTCAAGTTAGTCTTACTTGGACCTAAAAATCTTCCCAATACATAGAAATTCCATTTCCAATTATATAGAACAACGTACAGCAAGTGAAAGCTGCAGCTTAGACCAGGCAGAAGAGTTGGGACAATTACAACAGAAAGGGTGGTGTTAAAGGCTTCAGAAAGCTTCAGAATAAACAGGGACTAAAGAGGCATAAAGTCCAGAGAGGTAAGAAATGTTCAAAGGTGAGATGAGAATTTGCAGAACATTTCCCTGAAGCTATTTGCCAAACCACTAAGAATTTGGCTTTGGTTTAGGCAGAAGCCACAGCTGGAGGCGGGAAACAAACAGTGGACATTCTGCTGCTCATCTGGGGCTATGATGTCAAAACTGGAGACTGGGGGTGTCAACAGAGCCAGGCTTCCCTCAAGATGTTTGCCAACTTCTGAAGCCGTGCAAAGCAGGAGGCTAGGGAGTAAGTTTGGAAACAAGGCTGTGGAGTAGTACAGAGAGGAAAAATGTTCATAGCATCTTTGTCTTAAGGAGACAAAGCCCCTTCAGACTCACAATAGAAATGTCACCAAGGTCCTTTTCCTAGGAACACACATGAAGCTCGGGACAAATGAACATTAGCAAAGCACAACCAGCCATGTCCCTGATTGGGTTGTGGAGATCAGCCCCCACTCTCTCTGCCTAGTAGAAGAAAGGAGATAAAATGATATGTATTCTCCACTGCTCTTTCATACATGATGTCTAACATTCAAAAACAATCTGTACATGTGAATGGATAGAACCCTAGGGACAATAATCAAGAGAAAAATATAAAAAACAAAAGCAGACCTACAGAGATAATAATATTGGAATTGGTAGATAATAATTTTAAAATATCTATGAGTTATATGTTCAAAAACTAGAGAAAAAATACAAAAGAGACTAAAAGATGAAGATTTTGATGAAATTGTAACCTATGATATGAAGAATCAATATACGTTCTGTATCTGAAAAATATTTTTATAATGTTTAAAACCACAAACTCAACGGATGGGCAAATTGGGGACAAAAGAAAATAGAAGTAGGACCAGAAGACATGAGAAAAAGAACAATAACAACAAAACAAAATCAAATGACAGGTGAAAATAAGGGAGAACAGAAAAATTTGAGGATAAAAACAGCTCTGTAAAGAATAGAGACACAAAGGTTGTGAAATTATCTTAAAATTATATGCAAGAAAGTTTCCTAAACTGAATGATATGACTTTCCAAATTGAAATTCCTGAGTGCCCAGCAGAAGTTAAAATTTAAAAAGACTCACAATAAAGCATGGCATTGTGAAAGTTTAAAATGCAGAGATAAAAGATCATGAATAGTAAAAGCTTTCAGAGAGAGAATACAGGACCACGAAAAGAAGGAAAATAAAAATTCTCAACAGCAGGAAAACGAGCAGAAAAACAGAAAAACAGTAAAGAAACACCTTAAACCAGGGGTCCACAATCCCCTGGGGGAGGTCTGCTGGGAACCAGACCGCACAACAGGAGGTGATGGGGGGCGGGGTGAGCAAGTATTACTGCCTAAGCTCCGCCTACTGTCAGATCAGCAGCATCACTAGATTCTCATAGGAGCGTGGACCCTATTGTGAACTGCGCATGCGAGGGATCTAGGTTGCACACTCCTTATGAGAATCGAATGCCCCCTGACCTCATCTGTGGGAAAATTGTCTTCCAGGAAACCAGTCCCTGGTGCCCAAAAGGTTGGGAACCTCTGCCTTTAAATTATTTAAATTCTATATTCAGCTAGACCTTCCAACAAGAGTAAGGGTATAACTTTTTTAAATGCTGACATGCAATATTTTACCTTCCCTGCACCTTTCCTAAAGAAGTTACTTGAGCATTTGCTCCAGAAAATGAAGTAGTAAACCTGAAAAAAAGACCTAGGAAATAAGAACCAGAATGCATTCTACAAAGAAGGCAGTCCCACAGAACATCTGCCCTAGAGGGCAACAGAAATCTCTAGAAAAGCAGTCTTTTGCATACATGCGGCAGGCGAGTATATGAAAACAAGCTCAAAATTACTGATCATTAGACAAATGCAAATCAAAACCACAACGAGATACCATCTGACACCAGTCAGAATGGCTACTAATAAAAAGCAAAAAAATAACAGATGCTGATGGGGTTGTGAAGAAATGGGAATGCTTAAACATTTGTTGGACAAATAAGTAATGGTTGCATTTTGTTTATGTTCAGAGTTACAAAATCTGGGAAATTGGGAGAGCTTAAGTTTCACCTAAATTGTGGGTGGTTGACCTTTATGTATCTAAACAGTAACTACCATTTTTATTTATTTTTTTAAGCAATGGGAACATAGGAAACCATAGCAAATTGAGGCAACAATTTACTATAGGAAAAACAAAAAGGGTCACGAGTCCATTACTTTGTTCAGCCATGAACATATGTAAAATACTGGCTGTTACTCCAAAAAATGCAATACAAGCGTATTAAAAGCACAAGAAGAGAAAAACTGTAAGAAAGATATATAAGGGAGTTAAATTTTCATCATAGAAGGAAACCAATAAATAATGCCTAAATGAATATATTTTTAAAGCAGTATAATACTTAGAAATAAAGACCTAATTAACTACAGAACAAAAGTAATTGAAATCTATTATCCAGATGGGGATAAGGGAGGTATAGTGTAAACAACTGCCAGTTTTTATTATATGATTTTAATACTGTTAACTCTTCAACTATACCAACATCTAAACTTAATAAAAAAGAATAAGAATTGTCAGTTTCAGTCATGAATTTTATAATGACTCTCATTTAGAATTATCAAAATAAATTTTCATTCCCAAAGAAGTAAACTTCATTGTGCAAAAATTGTATTCATTCATGTAGAAGAGCTAAAATGAATTTTAATACAGACGGTGTGTAACGTGTGCATTCACACAGCATCTGAGAATTGATCTGTCTCTTGATTCTTAATGGTAATTATGTATACCCAGCAATTTCTGGGAAATAATTACTTGGAAACCCAACAAAAAATTCAAGACACAAATTATGTCTAACAAATGCTAGTTTTGTAAATTGCACCAAATAACAATCACATATTGAAGGCTGTAATATAATGACACAATGATGTTTCCACAAACTTTTATATATCTGCTCCATAAATATCATTAAGCACATACTAATTACCAGCGACTTGTAAAATACTTAAGAGTACAAAGATTAAGTTAAAAACTAGGTCTTGTCTTCATAAGACTATAAAAGCTCAAATTTTCTCTCACAGTTTCCATTATCACAAAAAGCAAATATTTTCTATCTGCTTACGCTGGAATTAACTTACAACTTAACCCAAAGCCAAGCGTATTAGTCGTTCCCACACTGTTATAAAGAAACACCCGAGACTGGGTAATTTATAAAGAAATGAGGTTTAATTAGCTCATGGTTTCTTAGGCTCTATAGGAAGTATGGCTGGGGAAGGCCTCAGGAAACTTAAATCACGGTGAAGGCCAAGCGGAAGGAGGTACGTCTTCCATAGCCAGAGCAGGAGGAAGAGAGAGGAGGGGGAGGTGCTACACACTTTTAAGCCACCAGGTCTCACAATAAGTCACTCACTCTCAGGAGAACAGCAAAGAGGAAATCTGCCCCCATGATCCAATCACTTCCCACCAGGCTCCTCTTCCAGCATTGGGGATTACAACCGGACATGAGATTTGGGCAAGGACACAAATCCAAACCATATCACCAAGTTGACATAGATAGCTACGTTCCTAACAGAAAATCTCTTGAGGGTGTGTTTTGTGATGGTTGCAGTAGTACCAGTAAAATTCTCAAACAACACCAGCTACCGTCCAGAATTCCTAAAGGGACAATGACGTGAAGTCAATAATTAAATAGCGAAGTCACTTTGTTAAATGAAAAACAAATGGATTGCTC